GGAGAGATTTGTTGTTTCACTTATTTATGCATTAATTGCTTGATTTCTTGTATGTGTCCTGACTGGAGATTGAACCAGCAACCCTTGCACATACGTACAATGCTACAACCAACTGAGCCATCTAGCCAGGGCTGGATATAAATTGTTTACTGAATATGTTTTGCAGATACTTCCCTCCGTTCTGTCACATTTATTCCATTTTAAAATATTTTTTTAAAAACACAATCTTATTTTTGTATTTTGATGAGGTCCAGTTTATCAGTTTCTTTCTTTCTTTTTTTTTTTTTTACTATTTTTGGTGCCATATCTAAGAAGTTCTGTCCAGTCCAAAGTCTTGAAAGTTTCTTCTATGTTTTCATCTAAAAGTTTTATTGTTTTGTAAGATGAAATATAACTTAAAGGTTTCAGGAAGCATTGATTTTATACCTTAATGAAAAGATTCTAAACCAGACATTTTAAAATCCTCTCAGATTTTCAAATTGCTCTCTGTGGACTATAGTATTTTAGTAAAACCTGGGAACTATTACATCTATTTGAAAACACTTTTTAAAATAAATAAAAGATTTTGAACAATAAAATAAGTTTTATTATTTTGACACATTTATGCTTATCATACATTTTAAAATTAAATTTATTGAGATAACATTGGTTAATAGTATTACATAAATTTCAGGTGTACAACAATATAATTCAATATCTGTAAACTATTGCGTTCTCACCACCCAAATTCTAGTTTCCTTTCATAAGTTAATTTTGGGGCATGGTATATAGTGAGGGTCTAAGTTGATCTTTTTACATGTGGATATACAAATGTCCCAACATCGTTTGTTGAACAGAGTGTCTTTTTGCCCAATGAATTGTCTTGGCACATTTGCCAAAAATCAACTGACGTAAATGTCAGGGATGTTTCTAAATAATCAATTCTGTTTCATTCATCTATATGCCTATCTTATGCCAGTACCATACTATCTTGATAACTGTAGCTTTATAGAGTTTTCTGTTCCCTGAATATACTATGTTCTCTCTCACCTCTTCCAGCTCTTTGTACATATTATTCCTTAGGCCTAAAACAGTCTCTTATCTAGACAACTCTTACTTGTTTTTCAGGTCTAAGCTGCAAAGATGCTTTGTCCAGGAAATGTTTCTTGATTTCAAAAGTCTGGGTCAAGTATTTCTCCTTAGTGCTCCAGATCATGTGATAATTATATTTATCATTGAATTATCACATTGTATTACATTTGCTTGTTCACTTGACTGTAAGCTCCATGATGGCAAAAATCCTCTCTAATCAGTGCAAGGTTCAGCTCCATTGCTTTATACAGTGACTGATGCATAGGAAATGATCAATAAATACTTGTTGAAGAAATGATTAACTGATTCTGCTTCTAGTTATGGAAGACTAATTCAGACCAAATTTCCTGCTGAAAACAAGAAAACTGTGATAAAATATAAATAATATATATATTTGAAGGTATCCAAGATCTAATAAAGCAATAAAGTATTATGGAACCAAGATGCAGGATAAAAAGAAAACCAAGAGAGGCTGTTTTTCTCACCAGGTCATTGGCTAATTACAGAAGAGTAGCTGAGAGACAGCCAAGGTTTTTACAAGCACATAGAGTTAACACAACAAATATTTGAATTCAGGACCCATCATTGAGGGGAACCGTAGATAAACCCTAAGGTGTTGGGTTCCAACTGAGAAAGCATACACACTGAAAGGAAAGCTAAATAAGCCTTCACATGGCCAGCATCAAATTATCCCAAACTTGAACTGAATTAAGGTGATGAGGGATTGTTAGTGCCCCTAACCACCTGCCTGAAGTGAGCATAAATCCTTTCTGGATAAAGATTTGACAAGCTGAGGCCTCAAACCATCTCTATTATAAAGTTTTCAGATATGATGTCTGTGACTCAACCAAAACTAACCAGGCATATGAGCAAACAAGGAAAAATGAATTTAATCAAGAGAGAAAATAGACGACATAAACATACCCTAAAGGATTGAGATAATAGAGTTTCCAGATGAAGGATGTCAAACAATTGTGCTTAATACGTTCAAGAAAAGACAAGACTAAATTATAAATTTTGGCATAGAACTAAATACTATTTTTCAAAAGAATCAAGTGAAAATTCTACATTTATAAGGTGCCTGCCTTGGTGCGTAGTATTTAGCAGGAGGGTATGAGGGAGGGGAAGGGGAAGGGTGGTGGGGGGTAGAGGAACCGGAAAT